AAAAAAAAAAAAAAAACTTAAACATGAAATATTGGAAGTAACATAAAGTATGATCTTTAAAGATAGAATTTGTCAATGGAGTTGCCATCTAGAGGCAAATGTATTTTTTTTTGAAACCTAGTCTATGTTGCCCTCGGTAGAGTGCTGTGGCATCACAGCTCAGAGCAACCTCACACTCTTGGGCTTAAAGCAGTTCTCTTGCCTCAGCCTCCCAAGTAGCTGGGACTGCAGGTGACCGCCACAATGCCTGGCTATTTTTTGGTTGTAGTTGTCATTGTTGTTTGTCAGGCCCAGGCTGGGTTCTAACCCGCCAACTCTGGTGTATGTGGCTGGTGCCTTAGCTGCTGAGCTACAGGCGCCAAGCCTGCAGTTGTCATTGTTGTTTAGCAGGCCTGGGCAGGGCTGGAACCTGCAAGCCTTGTTGTATGTGGCCTATGTCCTATTCACTGAGCTATGGGCGCCGAGCCAGCAAATGTATTTTTATGTAGATGTTTTCACTGCTAAAAAGTTCTTTTGACTCTACCCTAGTTGGAAGTTGAGGAGTTAAGAGTTACAAACTGATGCCTAATATTTTCCTCTTCTCCTCTTGTAATAATTTTGTAACTTTTTGTGAAGTTTGAAATGATGGTTTTGAACAACTTTGTAGGGGAGCAGGGTCTGAAATCTTTTCATTGCTAGCAAGCTACAGTTGATTCAAAGATGTTCATATAGCATTTCCTATTGGTCCTTGTCTTTACTTCATCATGGATGTGTGGAGATTGTGATGCACAGTTACCTTTATAAATTTCAAAACTGTTATATATATCTACTTGTTGAAAAAGTCAGTGAATTAGACCGTTGCAAGAATAATTTCCAGTGTGTGGTGGTTGTTACCTAAATAGTTGCATATTTTTCTTAACTTGAAGATTGGACATTTGTATAGACTATTAACATTTTGCAACTCCAAATGAAATTATGGATGTAAGTACACTAGTGATTATCAATAGCTAAAAGCATTAATTATTAATTAGGTAAATAACTGACAGGGAACATTATTGTGGATGGAATCAGATAGGCATCATCTAAGCCCAAAGGTGGATCTTAACATCTTACAAAGAAATACAACCAAATATTATATGCATCCTGATATGCCATAGGAAATTCACAATACTGCCTATGAATATTCTTGTCAAAAAGAAAGAAAAAAATCAAACCTGAAATCTAATGAAGCATTTAGTCTGACGAGTCTATATAAGTGATAGACAAACATGTTAAAAGACACCTTGAGATGCAATCAACCAAATCCCGCATACAGGAAGTCTAAGAAAGATAACCCACTTTCTTCAACAAATAAATGGCAAGAAGAAAAAGGAGGGAGAACTGTTAAAGATCAAAAGAAGCACATTAATCAAATACAGTGTATGGACTTTGGATACTGATTTTTAAAAGTCCACTGTAAAATATATGAACATTGACTATTTGACATTAGAAGGAATAATTCCTAAAATTTTAAATATTTTTAAGTTCTTATATTTTAGAAATATAACACTAAAATATGTACAGATGAAATGATATCACTTCTGAGTTTACTTTAAAATAAACCAGCAGGAGAATGGAGGGAGGAGTATAGATGATTTTCCACGAGTTGGTAGATGTCAGAGTGGGTAATAGTGATGGGGATTTGTTGTTCTTAATGGTTATTTATTTATTTATTTTTTTGAGACAGTCTTGCTCTGTTGCCCAGTCTAGAGTGCAGTGGCATGATCATAGTTCACCGCAACCTCAAACTCCTGGGCTACAGCAATTCTCCTGCTTTAGCTCCAGGGAGCTGGAACTACAAGTGTGTGCCACCACACTCGGCTAATTTTTTTCAACTTTTCATAAAGATAGGGTCTCACCCTTGCTCAGGCATTGGCCTCCAGCATGCTGGGATCATAAGCATGAGCCACTATACCTGGTCTCTACTTTTGTATGTTTGAATTTTTTCATAAAATAGTTTTTTGAAGTCAAGATAATTATGTTAACATAATATACTGGAGTACATGGCTTGACTGTGCCATGAGAAATTCTGGAGACACTCAGATCACACTGGGATGATAGGAACCTGTTAGTTTGGGGGTTCTTGTATAACTCTGCCAATCTTACTCAGATTAAGAGTAATAATAATTTTATTATGTGTTTTCTTTAGACTTCCACAAACATGTGGAGTTTGATTTCCTTATCAAGGGCCAGTTTCTGCGGATGCCCTTGCTCAAACACATGGAACTGGAGAACATCTCATCAGTAAGTCACTTACCTTTTGTATTTTACTTAAGGTATCATCAGATATTTTACCTCAACTTTTTTTTTGTTTTTGGTAGAGTGCTGTGAGCTATGATGCCACAGTACTCTACCAAAGGTGACATTGTGAGACAGAGTCACTTATAGTGAGACATAGCTCACAGCAACCTCAAACTCTTGGGCTTAAGTGATTCTTTTGCCTCAGCCTCTCAAGTAGCTGGGACTACAGGTGCCCGCCACAATGTCCAGCTATTTTTTGGTTGCAGTTATCACTGTTGTTTAGCTGGCCTGGGCCAGGTTCAAACCTACCAATCTCAGTGTATGTGGCTGGCAGCACAGGTACTGTACTATGGCGCTGAGCCTCTACTTTTTTTAGAATTGGCCTTAATCTATTTTTGGCACCCAAGAGTCTTTTGGTTATTGTTCTTTCCTATAAATTTGAGCCTCTGTTTTTATATATTTAATTTTGAAACCCCCTCTCTTTGTGAGAGTATTTCATTTAAGAAATCAAGAACATATTCTTCATATTTATAGAGTAACTGACAAGAAAGGGAATAGCAAATATATGTGTATTATTAATACAGGAATACAAAACAGTTGGGTACATATCAAAGCGATATGTTAGAGTATTGTGATTTAGTGATTTCTCTCTTTAATTTTTAAGTTTTGCTTAATATTGTCTTTATAATTAAAATATATGATTGCTTTTTTTTTGGTGATTTTAAAAATTGTGGTAGAATATACATAACAAAGTTTAAGGTATACAGTACACATTTTTAGGTATACAGTTCGGTGGCATTAGTTACATTCACGATATCATGCAACCATCTCCACTGTCCATTTCCAGAACTATTTCATCATTCTAAAATGTACCTGTACTTAATAAATAATATGCTTTTTTAAAAATTTTCAAGTTTGATTATATTCTCTTTCCTCCCCTCCTCCCATTTTTAGCATAAGTTTTCCAAGGCCATTAATATCTCTCAATACTCTTAGCATACTATTAGGTTAAATAAAATTTTTGACTTTTTTTTTTTGAATGGCTCCAAATTTTGGGGCTGTTAAGGGGACTAATATATGAAGGTGGTACATTAAATTGAGGGTTCTCTATCTTCATAATACAAAAGCTCATGTGCAATTTAAAACAATTAATTATTTTAAATTGCATGTGAACTTTATGGACACCCTGTATAATATTTTAAAACTATACTACCTGATTGGTTTCTGGTTTCTCTGTGTTACTAGGAAGAAGTTGTGGAACTAGAATATGTAGAAAAGTATACCGCACCCCAGCCAGAGCAATGCATGTTCCATGATGACTGGATTAGCTCAATTAAAGGAGCAGAGGAATGGTATTGCCAATTGAATGCTCTTCTCTTTTCTTATGTATCTTCTTCAGTCTTTTAAAATCCACTATGTGAATATTTTTCTCTGATTTCCTGTTCTTTGTAAAAGTAGTTTTGTGGTATGTGTATTGGTGACCATGCCAAATAAAAAAGTTTGGCTGTTTTCAGTGTATTCAAGAAAAAACAGATGTTAATCCTAGCATTCTGGGAGTTAGAGGTGGGTGATTCTTGAGCTCAGGATTTTGAGACAGCCTAAGCAAGAGCAAGACCCTGTCTCTACTAAAAATAGAAAAACTAGGCCACGTGCAGTGACTCATGCCTATCCTAGCACTCTTAAGAGGATGAGGTGGGTGGACTGCTTGAGCTTACAAGTTCAAGACCAGCCTGAGCAAAAGCAAGACTCTGTCTCTACTAAAAATAGAAAAACTGAGGCAAGAGGATCACTTGAGCTTGAGTTGGAAGTTGCTGTGAGCTACCTACCCAGGGTGACAGCTTGAGATTCTGCCTCAAAAAAAAAAAAAGAAAAGAAAAACTAGCTGCTCATTGTGGTGGGTGCCTGTAGTCCCAGGTACTTGGGAGGCTGAGGCAAGAACAATTGCCTGAGCCCAGGAGTTTGAGGTTGCTGTAACACCATGGCACTCTAGCATGGGGCAACAGAGTAAGACTGTCTCTAAAAAAAAAAGAATAGGTTCTTTTCTGTTCAAGATGTTTTACTGACATTTGTCCTCTGAATAAATCAGGTGTCACAGAACATTTATTATAATTTATTTGGTTTCAGTATGTTGGTTTTTTTTTTTTTTTTTGAGTCTCACTATGTCGCCCTAGATTGAGTGCCCTGGTGTAACAGCAACCTCAAACTCCTGGGCTTAAGGGATTCTCTTGCCTCACCCTCCCAAGTAGCTGGGACTACAGACACCCACCACAACGCTCAGCTGTTTTTTTTTTTTGTTTTTTGGTTGTAGTTGTCATTATTGTTTGGCAGGCCCAGGCTGGGTTCGAACCTGCTAGCTCCAGTGTATGTGGCTGGCTCCCTAGCTGCTGAGCTATAGGCATCAAGTCTTGGTATTTTGCTTTTAAGCCAAGGATATAATTTGTTTCAGGGACAAAAAAACTTACAGCCACAAATCTCCTGCCTTAACTATCATGAAGATACATATCATGGGCCAGGCACAGTGGCTCACACCTATAATCCCAGCACTCTGGAGGCCTGAGGCGGGTGGATTGCCTGAGCTTTGGGGTTTGAGACCAGCTTGAGCAAAGCAATATCCTGTCTCTACTAAAAAGAGAAACACTAGCCTGATGTTATAGGCGCCTATAGTTCCAGCTTCTCAGGAGGCTGACACAGGAGGACAACTTGAGCCCAAGAGTTTGAGATTGCTATGAGCTATGACATGGCACTCAACCCTAGGACAACTGAGTGAGACTCTGTCTCAAAAAAAAAAAAATGCATATCAAAGAAAAGACTACAATCAAGTAAGATTGTAGAAAAGCACCTCAAAAGTGGAGTAAGAGCTTACATCTTTTTTTTCTTTTTTTTTTTTTTTAGAGACAAGAGTCTTATTTTATCGCCCCCAGTAGAGTGCTATGGCATCACAGCTCACAGCAACCTCCAGCTCTTGGGCTTAGGTGATTCTCTTGCCTTAGCCTTCCCTCCCAAGTAGCTGGGACTACAGGCACCCGACAGAACACCTGGCTATTTTTTGTTGCAGTTTGGACGGGGCCAGGTTTGAACCCACCACCCTTGGTACATGGGGCTGGCGCCCTACTCACGGAGCCACAGGCACCTCCCAGGAGCTTACATCTTTCAAAGAATATCTTTCTGGACTTACAATACAGAGTTAGATTTTGTTTTGTTTTGTTTTTTTTGCCTCTGGTAGATGCTGTGGCATCATAGCTCACAGCAGCCTCAAACTTTTGGGCTCAAGTGATTCTCTTGTCTCTCCCTCCCGAGTAGCTGGGACTACAGGTGCCTGCCACAACACCCAGTTATTTTTTACAGATGGGTTAAGGCTGGTCTCAAACTCATGAGCTCATGCAATCCACCTGCCTTGGCCTCCCAGAATGCCAAGATTAGACGTGTGAACCACCATGGCTGGGCCCAAAGTTATGTTTTATTCTTTTTCTTTTTAATGTTTTTCACTGGTTAAGTACTACAAAAAGACTAAGGTTGAATATTTTGTTTCTTTCTTTTTTTTTTTTTTTGAGACAGAGCCTCAAGCTATCCCCCTGGGTAGAGTGCCATAGCATCACAGCTCACAGCAACCTCCAAATC